ACCCCCGTTATCCCGTGTGTCCCCCCCCCGCCCAGTACCGATGTTCCCCTCCAGGGCCAGGCACAGGGCGGCCCCGCACCGCCCCATCCCGCCACCGCTTCCGCCTTCCCGCGTCATACGCTAATGGCATGGTAATGAGCGGCGCGCGCTGCCTCCCCGTGACGTCAACGCGCGGGGGACGGGCGCGGGGGGGGCGGGAACAGCCGCGGAAGCGCGCGCGGCGCTGGGGGTGGGTGAGGGGGGCGGTATGGTAATTTATGCAAATATGACTCCGCCCACGGCATGTCCCGACAGCGCTGGAGGGGGGACAGGGCGGGGCACCAATGTGGGGTTGGGGTTACCAGTTTGGGGGGGGGGGACACACACACCAACGTGAGGTCAAGGGCATTGACATGGGGTCAAGGGCATCAGTGTGACATTGCGGACAGGGGGGCGGGGGCACCTGTGTGGGGTCAAAGGCACCAACATGGGCTTGGGGGGGCACCCACATAGGGGTCAAGGGCATTGACTTGGGGGGGGGAGGCCCCAAGAGAGGGTCAAGGGCACCAATGTGAGGTCAAGGGCATCAATGTGGGGTTGGGGACATCAACAGGGGGTTGAGGACACCACCAGGAGGTCGAGGGTGTCACCACAGGGTTGGAGGCATCAGCACGGGGACAGGGGATGGGTTTGAGGGTGTCCATGTGACACTGGGGGCACCAACGTGGGGTCAAGGGCATTGATGTGGGGTCGGGGCATCAACATGGGATCAGAGGCACCAACATGAGGTCAGGGCTCCCCCACCCCTCGCCCATTACCCTCAGCTCACCCCCCCCAGTCCCTCCCACCCCCCAACACCCCAAAATCTCCCAGAAAAGGGGCAGAGCCTGGAGAAAAGGCTTTAATGCACAGTGGGCAGTGGGGAGGAGCAGCGGGGAGCGAGGAGGAGCGGGGCGCCCCGGCCCGGGTGGGGGGCGCCGCCGCAGGGTGGGGAGGGGGCTTAAAAGCATTTTCGGTGGACGATGGAGGGTCCGGCCTCGTCGTACTCGGGTTTGCTGATCCACATCTGCTGGAAGGTGGAGAGGGACGCCAGGATGGAGCCGCCGATCCACACCGAGTACTTCCGCTCCGGTGGGGCGATGATCTGCCGAGACACGAGCCGTTAGGATGCACCCCTTGATCCACCTCCCCCAAACCTGCACCAGGAGAGGATTTGGGGTGTCGGTGGCCATGGTTTGCCCACCTCCCCCCACCTACTTTGATCTTCATGGTGCTGGGAGCCAGCGCCGTGATTTCCTTCTGCATGCGGTCGGCGATGCCGGGGTACATGGTGGTGCCGCCGGACAACACATTGTTGGCGTAGAGGTCCTTGCGGATGTCGATGTCGCACTTCATGATGGAGTTGTAGGTTGTCTCATGGATGCCAGCTGACTCCATGCCTGGGACGGAAGAGGGCTGTCAGCACCCTGACCCCCACCCATGCCTCCTCAGGGCTCCCCAAAAGAGCCATGGGGTCACCCATGGGTTTGTCCCCCCCCTTTGGGGTGCAAAGCACCCGGGGGAGCCCCAAAACGCCTCTGCAGGGCACCCATGGGAGCTGGTCGCCCACTGGTGGAGTGGTGGGGATGGGTGGCAACCACCTAGGGAACAGCCAGGACCATTCGGGGTGGGCTTACCGATGAAGGAGGGTTGGAAGAGGGTCTCAGGGCAGCGGAAACGCTCGTTCCCGATGGTGATGACCTGCCCATCGGGGAGCTCGTAGCTCTTCTCCAGCGAGGAGGAGGAGGCAGCCGTGGCCATCTCGTTCTCAAAGTCGAGGGCCACATAGCAGAGCTTCTCCTTGATGTCGCGCACAATTTCCCGCTCGGCTGCGGGAGGCAACGGCAAACAGGCTCAACCCGCTGCCATGGCAGCACCACGGGGTCCCCCGTCACCCTGTACGCCCCTCCCCGGCCCCGTACCAGTGGTGACGAAGGAGTAGCCCCTCTCAGTGAGGATCTTCATGAGGTAGTCAGTGAGGTCACGGCCGGCCAAGTCAAGACGCATGATGGCGTGGGGCAGAGCGTAGCCCTCGTAGATGGGCACGTTGTGGGTGACGCCATCCCCGGAGTCGAGGACGATACCTGGGAAGCGGGGGGGAAGGTGAGGGAGGGGGCTCGAAGCCAGCTTGGTCCTTTCCCCATCGCGGATGGTCCCATGCGTCCTACTCACCGGTTGTGCGGCCGGAGGCGTAGAGGGAGAGGACAGCTTGGATGGCGACGTACATGGCGGGGACGTTAAAGGTTTCAAACATGATCTGGGAGGGAGGGTGAGAGGGGCAGCGGGTTAGAGGGGAGCATGGGGGTCCCCAGTGGTATCCTACCCCGACCCACGGGGGCCATGCCTTCCTGGAGAGACTGGGTCAGTGCATTGCATGGAAAAACACACAGATCATTGCGTTGCATGGAAGAATAGATGGATCATTGCATTGCACAGAAAAATAGGTGGATCATTGCATTGCACAGACACATGGGTCAATGCATTGCACAGAACAACACATGGATCGCTGCGTTGCACTGAAAAACATGTGGGTCAGTGCGTTGCATGGAAAAAACGTGGGTGAGCGCATTGCGTGGCAAACCTCACAGGTCCACGCACTGCAGAGAAACTTGTGGGTCCACACAAGCGCATGAGTATGCTACCAAGAGCTCTGCTGTTATTAAAGCAACAAGCTTCATCCCACCGCCTGCTCATCCTGTCTCGCTAAACCCCCAAATCCCCCAGCCCTTCCTGCGGTTTTGGAGGGTCCGTCCCCATCCCCGGGGGCCCCACAGCACCTCACCTGCGTCATCTTCTCCCGGTTGGCCTTGGGGTTGAGGGGTGCCTCGGTGAGCAGGGTCGGGTGCTCCTCGGGGGCCACGCGCAGCTCGTTGTAGAAGGAGTGGTGCCAGATCTGGGGCGGGCAAAGGAGAATGGGGGTCTTACCCCAAACCGAAGCCGGGGCCAGCACCCACTCCCCATCCCAGCGGGCGTCTCACCTTCTCCATGTCATCCCAGTTGGTGATGATGCCGTGCTCGATGGGGTACTTGAGCGTGAGGATACCCCTCTTGCTCTGCGCCTCGTCGCCCACGTAGCTGTCTTTCTGCCCCATGCCTACCATGACACCCTAACGCCGGTGAGAGAGATGGCCTCGTTAGCCTCATTTCAGTGATTAAGGCAAGGCAGGGGGTGGTTGGGGGCTGCCCCTCCCCCCCCGCCTTGGGTACCCACCTGGTGCCGGGGCCGCCCCACGATGGAGGGGAAGACGGCACGGGGAGCATCGTCACCGGCAAAACCGGCTTTGCAGAGGCCGGAGCCGTTGTCGCAGACCAGGGCAGTGGTCTCCTCCTCGCACATGGTGGGGCCGGGAGCGGTTGGCGTTCAGGGGGACCTGGGAGAAAAGCTGGGGCGAAGGGGGAACACAGCGTTAAAGGGTGGGGGAGAGGGTTACGCCGCACCACCGCGTCCGGCTTTGGGTGTTCGAAAGGTTAGAGTCCTTGGGGATGCACAGCCCCGCAAAATCCTCTGCGGTCCGACCCTGGTGCAAGCGATGCTGGCAGCGGGCTGATGCTCGTCCCCCACGGGTGCTGCTCCACGCTGATGCTGCTTCTCCATCCTTCGCCAGCCGGTGCCCCAAATGGGTGCCAAAGCTTCCCGCCCGTGCTTGACCGGCAGCAGCGCTCCTCGGGGTGCTCCGGCTTTGCCGTCCCTGGCCGGCGCCCGCCGAGCGGGCAGGGGGAAGGCAGGAAATGCCCTCTCATCCAGTCCTGTCTCGGCAGCCCCTTGCTGCTCTGCCCTCGCATCCTTTCCCAAAAATGGGAAAAAAATAGCCCTTCCCAGGGGGTACCCCCCACCTCTGCTGGCGGATGCGCTCCCAAATCCAGAGGGAAGCAGGCAAAAACCTCACAGGAGCCCAAAAAGAAAAAAAAAACAAAATCGCAAGGATTTCTGGAAGAGCACGACCCGCTTTGGCTGCAGACCAGCTCTCATTGCCTCCACAGAAGCCCCTGGCTGCAGGGTCGTGCCGGGGTTGGCATCCCCCGCCCGTGCTGTGCAAACCGAGTTGGGGTCACCCCATAAATGCCAAGGCACCCCAAAGCCCCCCTGGGGTGTTTTTCCTTCCCACTCTCCTCCAAGGAAAAGGGAAACCAGGGCTGGGCAGTACTCACCGTGGAGGCAAGGGCTCCTTTCCTCTGGGACCGAGTCCTGATGTGTCTTTGGTATAAATACCAGCGAGCCCGTGAAACCTCAGAGGCGGATCCTCTCTAAACAAAGACCCTAAATAGGCTAAGTGATGGTGCGTTAGCCATATGGCCATATAAGGTGTTTTGTTTCATTAAATTGACCTCGGGCTGATGGTAGGACCCAGCACGGTTAATTATTGTAAGAAAAATGTATGCAGGGATGCTTGGGAGGCAACATCCCATTTGTGAGTCTGTTCCTTTTATGCTCCGCTCTGATAAACAAGTGAGACACAAGTCCTTATAAGTGACGGTCTCGGCAAAAAGGAGGTGGAAGCATCCCTGATTCCTGGGGAAAGTGTGGAGAAACCCCACCCGGGTGGAGGTGGGTGTCAGGGCTCTGCCATGGGGGACATCCCAGAGCCGGGATGGGAATTTGGCATTGCCGAGACACTGGAAATGCACTGGGTTGGTGCATTGCTTCCTCCCGGCCTGAGTTCCCCTGTGTCTCACCGGCATCTGGCACCTTTGGGCTGTCTCACCCCGGGGTTTTTAATTTCCGCCCCCATTTTTGGGCTTTCGGTGCCCCAAAGCCCCTCATTCCCCAAATCCTTGGCTTGCCCAGGGCTGGGACTGGCAGGTCCGAAGCTCCGCTCTGTGTCCCGGGGTGCACGCAGCTCTCACCCTCTCACTAGGAGGATTTTGGAGACAGGATGAGCCCAGACACCCCAAGGTGCAATGTGGGTGCTGTTCTCTGCCCCGCCTGCCCAAATGCAGCACAGGGAGGGGGCCAGAGCCACCCCTGCGGATGCAGCCTTAGCATGCGGTGAGCGGAGCCGCAGCGGCCGATGGCCCTCGCAGAAGCCAACCAGCGGCTGCCAAACTTCCAGCTGTCTTTTTAAGGACAACAGTCCCGCACCGGGGACTCTCCCCAAGCAGCTGGGGCAGGGGGGAGGCAGGAGAGATGCCCCAGAGCTATCTGGGGGGACTCAGGTTGCAGGTGGGGAAACTGAGGCACGGGGTGCCTGGGCTGCCTCCTGCTTTGCTTTGCAGGGTCCTGAGCTGTGCTCAGGGCAGGGACATCAAGGCACCGGTGCAGCAACAAGGACCAAGAGCTGCAGGGTCCCACCACCACCAGAAGGGACCCGAGAGTCCTGATGTCCCCCCCCGGCCCCGGAGAGGGGGAGCGGACTCCGGGCTGTCACCCCACAGGGCAGGACAGGGACACGGTGTCTCCCTGGCATGGCCAGCCCGCTTGTGCCTCCAACATCCCCAGGCAGCAGCTCTGCCCCAGTTATCCCACTTCCTCCAGGGAAACCTCAGCACTCGGGGACTGGATTTGTCCCCTGGATCCCCTGGCCGTACACTTGTCAGCGTCCCCACTGCACACCCTGAGCCCCAGGGACCTGCCGCTGCCTCACATCCCAACCCGGTTCCCTTGGTTCACTGCCAAACATGAGGTCACCGAGGCAAAAGGTTGCCATATATGACATGCTGGGGGGAAAAAAAAAAAAAAAAAAAAAAAAAAAAAAAAAAAAAAAAAAATTAACCCCAAACCCAGCACAGAGTGGGGCGGGGGGGGAAACAGGGGGTTGGATTGAGGGAGTGGCCCATGCCAGCACTGGGAAAGTCCCACACAGAGGGAGCATGGCTGTGCTGGGGGGCTGCACGGAACCTGTGTCAGGACCCCGTCCCACCCACGGTGGGGCCCAAAGCCACGGAGACACCCCCAAACCCTGGGCTGGTGCAAACGGCCGGGTATCGACCCGAGACCCCGCTCTGTTTTGCTGTTCCACACCTGGCATTTGCCTGGGAACGGGCAGCTCCAAGCTCCCCACCCCAGCAGGATTCCCCAAAACCACCCCGACCCACAGCACCACAGCCAGCCAGGACAGGATGCCTCGGCACAGCCAGTTTGAAGCTCGGACCGCTGCGGCAAAGCCCCGAGCTGGAGCAGGCACGCAGCCTAAAAAGGAAAGGTTCGGCCACCACAGCCAATCCAGCTGCCGGCTCTGCCGGCACTTGGCGGCCATGGGGAGGGTGGCCGGCGGCCCTGGGATGCTCACAGGAACGCCAAGCATCCCACGGCATAGGCGAGGCTGGCCCAGGCTGGGATGAACACGGGACGAGGAAGGGGGTAATCCCTAGTTTGCCGTGGGATTTCAAAACTCCCGGTGCCCAGGCCAGCCCTCGGCACCTCCCTATAAGGGTAATGTTCGCGCTTTAAACCTCTTGGGCTGCTGCTGAGGATGGACAAACAGGCGATGAGAGCTCAGGCAGGGATTTGGGTCTGTTCCCATCTCCAAGGCAGAGATAAGCATCACTCCTTGCCTGCAGGAAACCCCCCAAAACATGCAACCCACGTTGTTGCGGAAAATAAATCATTCCTGCAAAGCGTGGTTTCTGGATAGCTTAGCTCCTACCAGATTCAACTCCCCGTTTTGAATGATTTTTAAGGTACAACAGTCACATCTGGTGCAGCTGGACAGACAGGGTGGGTTAGTGGGACACAGGCAGTAGTGCCAGGGTATCAGCATTCATCCTAACGCACAAACTGATGACTCAGTGACTTTAAGTGAAAAAATGTGATTAAAAAGCCGCCAGCTTGGAGAGCAGGGCTGGGCGCGAGGCAGCAGCTGGCCGCTGACGTAAAAAACGCAGCCTTTGCGTATGGCCGCACTGCGAGGTATTTGAAAAATTCTCCATGAGGGTTTATCGGTCACTGGGACGACTTACAAACAAAGAAGTGATTTGCCACTACCTCCTCTCCCCGGCTGCTGCTCTCTGCTCAATGCTGGGGTCAGCTCAGACCCGAGACCTTCAGGGACAGGGAGTTGAGACAAATTCGTTGTGATATTCACCACAAATTTGAAGGAATCGCTGCTTTGCAAGACAGGCTTTTACACCTTGTGTCCCTGTGATGCTTTAGGGGAGCCAGCAGAGTGAAGAGCAGATAGAGCTGCGGGATGAACATCCCTACACCGAGGCTGCAAAACCCACCCCTGAGCATGGTTTAAATAAATGAGGTCTGAAAGTTAGTTCCCACAGATGCCCTGAAGTCCCCTTGCTTCCCTCCCACTCCCGGGGGTAGCCTGTTTTCAAAACCAACTGCAAAAATGATGGCAGCAGTAGTTTGTCACGCAGGAGTCAAGGAGGTGGCTGTTGCAAATAAACACAACCCCTAAATAAATCGATTCCCTCCCCACTCTCAGCCACACCAGACCCCTCCAACCCACTGAATTAGCTCAAAGAAAATAAGTGGCAAAAGAAACCCAGCCAAGATAATACAATCCATCTGTGTTAAACTGTACACCAAAGAATTTTGTATGTGGAAGTACAAGGACTTGACATATAGAACATGTATGTATGCATGCCAGGTGGGAAGGCAACTCCAGCCTTCTTCCCCTCCCCGCACAGCCATGTGCTGATCATTAGAGCATCCTGCCAGAGGATGTGGAGATATTGTGGATCACGCTCAGCCCTTTGAGGCCAGATGCCTTCCACCTTTCAATACTGCTTCTTTGCTTTCAACGCCAGCAGAAGTGAGGGTGAAGGCTCAGCACGGATCGGGCAGGGAAGGAAAATCGCTGCTCAGCGTCCGAGGAAAGTAATTCGGAAGAGGTCCCTGGCTGGTGTACCGCATAATGGCGACATCACAGAGTGCTTGTTTTTGGCAAGGACAGACTTCATACTGTTTTGAGAAGTTCAGAGGCAATCGGGCGCTGTGATCTTTGAGGACTGAAGTGGCAAAACCTGCTGGAGTCCTGTCTCAGAGAGGCGATGGCCTTACAGAGCCTTCACACGACAGCACTGCAGCCAAGAGACTGAGAGCCTCCTCCACGGTAACAACAGCAGCAAGTCAAACCCAAGCTCTCACTGGGCAGCCCAAGTGCCGGAGCAAATCTCCCATCCAGGAAAAGGAATAAAGTAACAAGACATCCCTCACGTCTGCTGGAATGAAGCAGCTTGTGCGAAGCAGTGCCGCATCCAGGCACCTTCTCCCCTGAAACGTGGAAATGGGGGTCCCCAAAGGAGGTGGGGCCCCTTCTTACCTCACCAGGCAAAGACCTGAGTAACAGCAAGCAGAACTCACTCCAACTCAGCGGCAATAAGCTCTTGCGTGGAGTGAGAGGGCTTAGGAAGGTTTAATCTTAAACTATAGCAAAGACTTGTCTACTCCAGCCAGCTGCACTGAGATCACAGCAACCCAGAGAGAGAGGCAAAACAAAGCATGGGTTAATTCGGGAAAGCCCCGCTTTGGAAAGCACTTGAAGAGGTTTCTGCACCTCATGGTTGCAGCAAATCATGGGGAACCACCGCAAGCAGCTGTTCAAGCCATAGATTAGAGTATTAAACAATTGCTTCAGTGTTAGCTTCTGTCTTTGAATTTCCAGTTAGCTTTTCCCCACACCCTGAACCTCAGCACCACTTCACTAGCCTGACGCCAGGCACTGAGGTTTCACGTGCTCCCACTGAGGTCAGGGTACTGATTTCACCGTGATTATTGGGGGACAAAGGGGAAGGGTCACTACACGGTAGAAATCATCTGCTACAGGAGGAAAAACAAAAATTCTCTAGGCCTAGAAGGAAGGTAGTTGGTTTTCTGTAAGTGGTTAAGGCAAGAGGCCTATCGGAGATCCATCAGGACCACGTCTCTCTCAACTACTGACACATGATTGCAGGTCTGGAAGAGAGGGGAAGAGAAAGAGGGGACAGGGGGTTATTCAGATGTTCCCAGAGCTCAGATGAGTCTCCTCTACCTCCTGACACAACCTGTACCCAGCATCCTTCACAGAACAGCCCTCTCAGACCAGGAACTAGTGCCCTGCCCAGTGCCACACAGAGACCATAGCAGGACACAAATACAAATCTCTCTCTCTCTCAAATACATGCCTTTGCCGCTGCCTTGACCTGTTTCTGCAGAGAAGTGCTCTGCATCGCACCTCCAACACATGCTAACAAGTTAGAAAGCTTTTGCACCTCAATGCTAGGAAGAGACAAGCCCCTGCCAGGCTGACCCTCCTGTCCTGGGTCACAGCCTAGTACCTCACCACAGATATAAATTCAAGTGAATTGTCCA